AAATAAATCACCAGCCCTTTCCTCACCAGTGCTAGGCTCATTTGCTAATTCGACCTTATCGTCTGACAAAGCATCGAATACGGGCCCTCCTTTGGCTGCCATGTGACGTAATGGCACGCTTTTCCCTGCTCATGGACGGCAAATTTGCTTCATTGAAAGCGCTAAAAGGCGTAGCGCCCAGCCTGGCAGAAGGGCCTGTGGCTTTTGCTTTTTTTTTTTTCCCTTCTTCTTCTTCGCGCCGTTAAACTTTTTTTTTCTCCTCTCTCGCCCAAGACCGAAGGATCCGCCGTTCCGCCCGGACGACGTAGGAAGAGGCGCGGCAATCCAATTGGTCTTTTTTTTTTTTGCCGCTGTCGTCGTTGCTGTGCCGCTGTCAGAGTCAGTCAGAAGTCAGTCAGAAGCCAGAGCCTGAAGCCAAGCAGCCGGTCAGAGTCACAAGTTGAAACGAAATTGATCGCCGTCCGCCATCCAATCCCATCACATTACCGTACAGTGCTGTGCTGTACATTCAATTCCGCTGTACTGCACTGTATTCAGCTAGTACATACCCGACATCTTGCTTTGCAGTCTGGTTCTTTGCAGTAATACTCTGTACTTACTTGTACTGTGCTGTGCTCGGTACGGCGTGCTGCTGGCTGGCTATCTGCTTGCGGCTATTCCCCTTTATTCCCTCCCTCTCCGGCCATTGATTCCATCTTCTCTTCTCTTCTCTTTCTTTTCATTCTATAATAGCATTTTCTTTCCTTCTTTCTCATTCCTGTGTTTAGCCGCTTTTGTCTCGATTCCCTCTTCCCTGGACGGGACGCTGTTTTTGCTTTGTTTGTTTGATTCCATCATTTGCCCTGACTAAGCAGAACTTGCACCGTTGAGCCGGCAAATCTAAATCCAAACCCATCAAATAACTTGCGCTGTGTGTCGCCAGCCACCCGCTCAGACCTGATACTGCACCGTCCGCTTCACTTCTCCCCCCCAGTTCATCCACGATGAATCCCAACCGCTCGCGATTATCGCGATGGCGATCGGCTTCGTCTCAGCGGCGAGACGACGACGAGGATGTTGACCCGCACACTATAATTGTGTCAGCGCCGCCGCCAGAACAAGCACAAGCACCAGCACCAGCACCAGCACAAGCACAGACACAAGGCCAAGGTCAACAACTGCCAGGACAACAAGCACCAACAACAGCCTCCTCTCTTCCTCCATCAAGGCCGCAATCGGCATCGCCAGCTCCGCCAGCTGCGACCGGCGATGGATCCAGCCTGCAACTGCCTCCGCGATACGCCGCCCCGGGCTCCAACCGCCGCCTGGGCTCCATCTCGTCCCGGCGCTCCTACAACCTCGCCACGCCAGACGCCGTCGAGGAGTCGGAGACGGAATACTTCCCACCCCTCGGCACCACGTCCAGCGCAGTCTCGCGAACGTCGAGTATCCGCGGCCGCGCGCCGTCGACGGCAGGATCCGAGTCTGGCCGGCCGGTGTACGAGCGCACTCGCCAGCCCAGCATCCGCATCCGACGCAGCTCCAGCGGCGCCTCCGCAGCAGCATCGCAACAGGCTCACCTGGAGTATGCGTCTGAGAGCAGCGACAACGAGACGCGCGGCAGATACGGCGTGAGGCCGCGAAGCATCTCGCAGCCCATGCCCCCGGCCCAGGTCTATGATGCCAACGCTGCCAGACACTCGCGCCGCGTGCCTCAGCTGGCCCTGCCGCGACTGACGGAAGAAGGCTCGCGGCCAAGCATGGCGGATCTTGGAATGAACTCGCCCATGTCGCCCTCGAGATCGCTGCCCGAGGATCCGCTGGAAGAAGACGATGCTCGCCGCATGTCTGCGGGCTCCGAGCCCTCGAGGAGGCTGTCCAGGAAGAGAAAGCTCAGCAGGCTGTTCTGGCCCGGCGGCTCCGTCAATCGGGGCTCTCAGGCTCAAGCTCCGCCCGCCGATGCGCAGGCAAACGTCGATGCTGCTGCTGCGCGGGCTCAGCCCCAATCCGACGAGTACGGCGAAGACCTGGTGGACTGGCTGGATATCATTGGTAAGCGGTTGACCCCCATCCTCCTCGGCCGAGTCTAGAACCAGCTCCGGCAGTTGCTGACATGTCTTTGTGTGACTAGATCCCGAGGTCCAGACTCTTTCGACCTTGACCAACGTGCAAAACTCCCTGTTCGTGCCTGATCTTGGCCCTTGGATCAATCGTCGCCCCACCTATGTCTTGTCGCCGCGCGATGCACCGTTTGCACGGCTGGGCCGCCCTGCAGAGCGCGAGCGCGAGCGCGAAGAGGAACTGCCACCCGCCGACGATGTGTCGAGGGTCCAGACCGGCGTCGAGTCCGTGGCCGAGGCCGAGGCCGGGGCGCCGGTGACGCTGCGCAGATCCGACACCATCACGTCCAGGCTCACAGACTCGCATTACGCCGCGCTGCCGCACGGCTTTAGCCTCGAGGGCTGGACCGAGGAGGAGAAGCTCGAGCTCGACGACCGCGTGCGCCACATGCTGCACTCGCGGCGGTCGCGCTTCAAGCGCACCATGAAGGGCTTCGGCCAGTACGTGCGTCGCCCGCTGGGCTTCTTCGTCACCCTCTACGCCACGCTCATCACCCTCTTCGGCCTGGCCTGGGTGCTGTTCCTCATCGGCTGGATCTACGTGGGCGACAAGCAGGGGTACACGATCCACATCATCGACAGCGTCCTGGTGGCTCTCTTTGCCGTCATGGGCGACGGCCTGGCCCCCTTTCGGGCCGTTGACACGTACCACATGGCCTTTGTCGTACACTACTCGCGCAAGATCGCCAAGGCCAAGAAGCAGAAGCTAAAGGACAAGGAGGCCGGCATCATCGACGGCATCCCTGGCAACAGCGTCGAGCTCTCGCACTGCGCGTCCGGTGACCCGCTGGCCGACAACGCCCAGCTCGGCGGCGGTCTCGAACCCGCCAGCGCCGGCGCGTCGGTCGAGCGAATCGCCACCAGCAACAGCAACCTCGCACCGGCGCCGCTGCCCCAGCCCGTGCAGGCCATCGTGGGCCAGGACGGCGACGTCGAGGCGGCCAAGCTCGACATTGAGTACGACGAGGACTCTCCGCTCACCTACAAGCAGTGGAAGAGGATGCGGCACCACCAGAAGAAGCTGGCCAAGTCGCACAGTTTCTACAAGCCCGACGAGACCTTTACGCACCACGCTTTCCCCCTTGCCTACCTCATTGCCATTGTCATACTGCTCGACTGCCACTCGTGCTTGCAGATTTCCCTCGGTGCCACCACCTGGGGCATCGACTACCACCACCGGCCCTTTGCCATCACCACCGTCATCCTCTGTGTCAGCATAACGTGCAACATCACCGCGGGTCTGGTCATTACGACTGGCGACAGGAAGACGAGGAAGAAGGACGTGTGGAAGCTGCTGACGCGCCAGGAGCTGACGGGCGATGCCATCAAGCACCTCGAGTCGAAGCGTGCCAAGGAGCAGAGCCGTAGCCACGACAGCAGCCAGAACAGCACGCAGGACAACTTTGTCCAGTCGGAGCCTGTCATAATCAAAGAGGATGGCTAATTTTGTTTCTTCTTCTTCTTCTTCTTCTCTTTATTTTCTATATCTTAATTTTACATATTCTATCCTCTCTCTCTCTCTCTCTCTCTCTCTCTCTCTCTCTCTCTCCACATTCTCCTTGGGTTAACACACACATGCTCTGACGGCATGAGGCGTACTACGGATTGGCTCGTTTCGTTGCCCACTTTGTTTGCTCTAATCATGCATCTCTCCCCCTCTCCTGTGAAAGGATGCATCGCATATTCCTCCTCGGTCCAGACCTCGATACCATTTATGCCCGGGCATATCACAAAAAAAGAAAGTAAGAAAAACAAAAAAAGGAAAACCAAAGGAAAAAGAAAAACAAGTGCCGCCGACGCCGGAGAAGGGAAGGGAGGGGTGCTTGTTGTACGGGATGCCGGGAGTTCTTGGCGCCAGTCGTGCTCAGCTTCGGATAATGTCTTCCGAACTTCTAGACCTCGATCTGGCTATATTTAGTCTAGCCGAAGGGTGGTTTTGTTTAATTAATGAGAAACGCTTTTGCCAACCATCGTGAACTTGTTCCCTCTCCCCCTCCCCCCTCCTCGTCGTACCGATGCCACCCTGCATCGGCCTTTGTGACCTTGTCCACTTACGGCTTCGCATTCAATCTCCGCTTCATATCCGAACCATGGATGACTTGCAGTCAGGTTTTTTTGTGTGCCTTATCTGTGAGTGAGAGGACACGGTTGTGAGAAAAAAGAGGATGAGAAAATCGAAAAATCCAGGACGAGGGCCTAGATCGCGAGAGGCCAGCCCACGGATGCCGCGGCATATGCGATGCGATGCGATGCGATGCGATGGACAGCGGCTTTTGGAGATTCTCGCCCCGAGTCCTCTCTCTCTCTCTCTCTCTCTCTCTTCTTTCTCCTTCCCACGTACTCGCACGAAATGCTGTTTGTGGTTTTCGTGAGGTAACCGTTACACCGGTCTGACAGCTGTCATTTGTCACCTTGTTCATCCATTTATTGGTTCTCTTTGCTTTCCCTCTTTTCCTCTTTGGTCGCTGTTGGGCTTTCCCACTCCCTCATCTGTGCTGCCGTCGTTCAAACGCTTCACTTCATCTGTGATGGCCTTTGGGCAGCAGATCGGTGATTTGAGGCAGAGCCGGGGAGGGGGGGGGGGGTCGGACCAGCTGGCGGGTGACGAGGGTCTGGACTCGGGATAATGATGGATCGAGATGGGGCTGGCTCTTGTTTTACCTTGAGAATAAGAGAAGGGGGTTGCGCTGCTTGGAGCTGCCATTCATCGTCCCAGTATCTTCCCTCCTCACTTTCGTGTGGGACACTGCTGATATTCGTCTTCTTTATGTGATAGTGTTTGCTCTCTCTCTCTCTCTTCGTCTCGATATATATATGCTTGATATTCTGCTTGGGGTGTAAAGATATTCGTGACAACAGCACACATACACAGAGAGAGAGGAAGAATAGAAAAGAGATACAATGGTCGCAGATCTCCCGCTCACCACCATTCCTCCCTCGAGGCCACACACGCATACCGTCATATTCCTGCACGACAACCGCATCTTCGCGCGCGACACCGTCAACCAGCTGCACGAAGCCACTGACCTCTCATGGCGATCCATTATCCAAAACTTTGCCTCGACCAGGTGGGTGTTTCCCCAAGCGCCCACCGACGAACCCCTCATACCATCTGGCCTGTCCATATCCACGGGAATACAGCACGGGGTGCACAGGGGCCAGCCAAGCTGGTGGGGAGGCGACATGGATGACGGCGACGAAGAAAGGCGGTTGCAAAACATGCTGCCCGGACTGAGGGAGAGGGTTCGAGAGTTACAAAAGGTCATCCGGAACGAGGTCGTGATGCTAGGCGGCCGCTGGGATAGGATCATCCTGGGCGGGATCGGCCATGGTGCAGGCACGGCGCTGATGGCGTTGATGAGTCTGGAAGGCAGCCCTTCGATGGACGTGGATGGCAGCGGACCTCAGCGTCTGGGCACCTTTGTAGGGATATCAGGACAGATGCCAGTGTCCGACACAAGACTCTCTTCAGCACAGCAGCTCTTCAGCCCAAACCACGTTTCGCCGGCGGAAAACCAGGTGCTGAAGAAGACGCCGATGTTGCTGCAGTACTGTAGCAACGGCGGGGAGGCGTACCTGGAGCAGGGCAGGACGTTTCGAGAGGTGGTCCTCGAGGGCGGCGTGGAGGATGTTGTCTGGAAGGAGTACGAGGATGCGTATCCGTTTTTGAATTCGCCGAGGGGGGCGGAGGATATGAAGGGGTTTTTGAAGGATAGGATGAACATGAGGCCGAATTGGTGATGATGCTTTTTCAGGGTATCATGTTATGGATGCATTGGGCTCTTGTTTTCATGTCGTTTTCGGGTAACTTATTGAGATTGACTGGACGTCGAGAACGGCACATGATGTTTTTTGTCGTCTATTAGCGTTATGATGTGGCATAATAAAACTTGAATACGAAAGATTTGGAGATTCATTCATGCGGGTGATGATGGTGAATTACATGGAAGCTTTGAAGCCACCTGATCTGAGATGTACCATCATGTATACATTGGTTTGTGGACATGAGGCGTTCGGACCGACTTGGAAGGCTATTAGGATCCTTACTCTACACTCATGCTCATGCTCATACTCATACAGATTGGTGATGCTCCTTTGTGTCACCCACCAGAGTGCACATAGACTCTGAATCCCGAAGCGAGTCGAATATGAGGGGAAAGGGTTACATTCAGTATCTAACATGCTGGATTTCCTGGTTCGAGAGAGCCACTCCTCCCATCTTTCGGATCTCGACACTTGAGAGCTAAGCTCAGCTGCCACATGCAAGGGGGGAAAGGGGCAAAACAGGCAAATGATCATCCCGTAGCCCCTTGCTTCAAGGGCGGATCTTATACCACATAAGCCGAGAGGTACTCTATAAGCCACGCGGGAGATCCCTGTTAGTTGGGGGCTGTATAACGTCAGAATCGGGGTGCCGATTTTGCGATCAAGGCCGGGAACTCTTCTCTGCCGTAGGCTATAGAATAAATGAAAAGGTATTTCTTTTTCTTCCGCGTGTAGAAAGATGAGTGGTGGGTGCGTACGGATCGCGTCCCAGAGGCAATATCATGTCTGGCGATGCACCCATGAGATATCCCCAAAGTAAAGAAACGTAGACAAGATCAAGATTCCTGCTCCCGTCAAGATGAGAAATTGCCAAGAAATCTACCGCGATGGCTTCCTCTTTACACCTTGGCGTGGTGCCGGAGCCTGTGATACTCTGTGCCTGGCGATTTGCATGACTGTGCCCACCCTTGTGAAGACGCACTGATGGCGTGCAGCTGGGAGATGGACATGCAGACTGCTTGATGGCCGCTCGCAGTTTTCCGTACAGTACATGAAGATTATCATAATGATAGAGAGTTGGCTATATGTGGCCTGTATATCATTGTCTTGTATAGATAAGGAATGCGTATAAGTGTCTCTGAGAGCTGAAAAGAAAGAATCACTCCTAGACTCATGCATCATCCATCCAAACCATTCACCTCTCGCTTATCGTAGGATTTTCAGCTTCACAGCCGACCCCGATTCTCCACCCTGCTATTACGCTGCTGAAGACATGATTCTTGGCATCTTCGGCTTTTCAAATCTTCACAGGGGTGCTATGTGTCGATCCCTGTACAACACCATGTTCCGCGTCTTACTGTATGTCTTGCGCTTTTATGAACGATAATCCCGTGCTCCTCGCCTTGTTCATCTTCTCTTTATTCCTTCTTCGCTTTTGGGCTTCCCTTCTTCGTCACTTGTCGCTCCTTGTCTGCATTTTGTTCAAGTGCACTGTTCATCCACCATCGCACCAACCTTTGTTCTTTTCTGGCCCTTTTTTTGGGCTATTCATCGTGATTCATCCGGTCGAAAACAGCTTTTATTCCAAGTCTAGCATTTGACAATGATCGAGGATGCTCCTCCGCCCATCGTCATCGGCCTCGACGGCCTGATCAAGCACTCTCTCCCACGCATCGCCAAGTTCCGCAGTGCCGCAGCTCCCATGACGAATTTTGGACGGCTATCGCCGTTTCTGAAGCGCCTTCAAGTCAGCGTCCTGCTTCTGGGCACCATCCACCGCAAGATTTCGCAATACGATACGATGCCGGGATCCGACCTATGTGTCGGCATCTGTCACGACAGCCTTGCGCAGACCCAAGGCATGATGGAAGCTGTGCTACGAGCAGACGACGACAATGCGTACAATGTCGGCAAAGGCGTGTTGGTTGAGAGACTGCCTGAAGAGATTGACTCTTTTATTACTTCTGTGGAGCTTTTGAGAAGCACGTATCGGGAGTACGCGTTGCGTGGTGTGTGTTTTCCGTCAGTTGCTAACCATGGATAGAGCACAATACGAGTTTATACTCCAATCCATCAAGGAGCTTACCGAATTAAAGCGCGACTACTCCGAGCATTTGAAAGAGTGCACGCGTAATCAAGCGAATGTGAATATTACAAACACGTCAAGCGAAGATGAACAGACTTTGGACTCGGATAATGGAACGAATCTGACGGAGCCTGAAGTAGCATCACCGCCTGGTTCCTCGGAGCGAAAGTCTGAGGAAGAAAACACGACACATGTAGAGGACACGACTATGTAGACCTCAGTGCTGGCCCAGTAGACCCGAAGAAGAACATTCCTGTGGTACCGCGAGAAGAAGCTCGGCGTGAGTGTATGCATTGATGGCTGAGATGGAGGCTTCCAAACAGGCAAACATAGGTTCATGGGCGAACGTTGGGGTTGAAGCCGGTGCAGTGAACAACGGTGATACTTTGAATACATGTCACTTAATTACCAGCTGGCATACTTTTTCGTCTGGGTTCTGATATGGTGACAAGAAGAGCAGTAGAGATATGTATGCATGTGTATTTAGAGACGAATCACAGCAAGTTCAGTGGAGGTGTCACTGCAAAAGGGTTGGTTGAATTCTTGATATCCCAAGCTCAGCTATACCAATCTCAATCCAAACGGTGTCTAGTCTCCATGTCCTCAAGCTCTCATGCCTCGACTTGCCAAATCTTTGCTACACGTCAACATCCAACGATTGCCACAGAATCTACAATCCAGTCAGCTCCATCTCACCCATGTTGGTGATATCACGTCCAAGTCTTACTTGTGAGTTTCCAGAAAAACACAGCCGGGAGAGACATCTAGACGCCTCCCAACGGCTTCAATGCCAGTACCTTGCTTTGGCTTCGGCCCTAGCTTTGGCACCAGGAGCAATCTCGCTCCAGGACGGGACGTAGCGTCTAGCAGGACGACCCGACTGGTATTCGATGCGCCTGCATCGATCACAGAGAAATGGCTGGGCATAGCACCACGAGCCCTTGACGACTTGGGGACCGACGGTGCAGACTTGGCGGCCTTCTTGGGGGGCTTCGTGGCACTGCGACTTGAGCTTGACGTCGTAGCAGCCGCACATGTAGAGGTAGGTGTCCCAGAAGCACATTTTGATGGTGCGATGAGTGATGTCGTGTTGAGAAGAGTTGTTTGAGTTACAGAGAGGGTTTGTCTTGGTCTTGTTGGTGGTTGTAGAGAAAGGAGAGTCGTAGAGAGAGTGAGGGAGAGGAGGGCTTAAGTAGATTCCACGTCGAAGTGAATCTTTCTTGATGCCAAGGATTTCTCGAAAAACTTGAATTGACATCACTATCAAAGATTTCACGTTTCAACAGCGAGCAAACGGCCATGACCAAGAGACACCTCGATTCACGTGCGTGGAATGGAGCCCGAGGTGCGTTTTGTCGTCCATCTTCTTGGCAGCAAACGAATAGGCGTGCGTGAATCTGGTGTAAATACTCGATGGAGCGTTTGTACAAGAGCCTGGATATCTTGATTCATATATCCTTTGGGAGAACTCCGCAGCGTAATCAATCTTGTATACTACTTACGCAACTAGCTCTTCTTCTACTACATCATACGCCATCTTCAGTAGCCTCACAACCTCCTCAACCTCGCCTTCCGTGATAGTCAACGGCGGTGCCAGAATAACATGATCGCCATTCACCCCATCCACAGTCCCCGACCCCGGATACACAGCTGGGCCGCGGCTGTGAGCTGCTTCTTGCATTCTGCTGGCAAACTTGACCGCTGGCTTGAACGGTTGCTTAGATGCTCTGTCCTGCACAAACTCGATCCCCAAGAACAAGCCTCTGCCGCGAAGCTCTCCCACGTACTTTGCGTCTCCGAGAACAGACCGTAGTCGAGATTCCAGAAGAGCTCCCCTAGCAAGACATCTCGCCACTAAATCATCGCGTTTGATGATTTTCTGAACAGCCAAGCCCGCCGCGCAGCACGCTGGATGAGCCTGATATGTATGTCCGTGAACGAAACTCGCCGAACCCCTTTTCAAGACTTGCACGACCTTTTCACCGATCAAGACGCCCGCAATAGGTGCATATCCTCCCCCCAGCCCCTTGCCCAGCGTAACAAGATCCGGCCTCACGTCACCTTGTCGCTCAAATGCAAGATACGACCCCGTCCGGCCACTCCCACACATGATTTCGTCCAGGACGAGCAGGATGCCATATCGATCACACACTTTCCTGACACCCTCGAAATACCCCCTTGGCGGCGTGACACAATCTGCAGTTGCTCCTCCCACAGTTTCCGCCACGAAAGCGATCACTGTTTCAGGGCCTACCCGCCGAAACTCGTCGTCCAGCTCTTGAACCAACCGACCAGCGTACTGTTGCTCTGTTTCTGCGTCTCGCCGACCGCGATATGCGTATGCCGGACTGACAAAGCTGACATTGTCGAGCGTCAAGACGCCATCATAAGGGATTTTGCTCGGCAAGTTGCTGCTCACGCTCATGGCCCCAATGGTGTTGCCATGATACGCCTGTCGCCTCGCAACAAACCTCTTTCTTTGCGGCTGGCCGTTTTCAACCTGATATTGCCTTGCGAGCTTCATGGCCGCATCCATAGCTTCACTGCCGGAGCAGACAAAGTAGGCCTTGGCCAAGCCAAACGGCTTGCTCAGCTCGGTGAGGGCGTCAGCTAGTTCCTCTGCGCTGGATGTCGTGTAAGCCATGGTGTGCACATATTCGAGGGCGTTCGATGAGAGAGCGGTGCAGGAGGCCTGGTTCTCGCTCCTCCGTCTGTGCATTGGTGATGTTCATTTTGGTCCGAGCTATTGAAGTGATACTGCTTGAACACTGTATATGTGGTTTCTTGTTGTTCAACCAAGGGACATCTCTTACAACGACAATCTTGTAACCAACATGGATTCGGTCCTAGTCTCGTGGATATCGCATAATCCGCACTCGGACTAGGATCTAAAGGCGGGAGTCCCCCATGTCATGTTCATGTTTATATTAGGGCGCAGGTAGCGTCGGATGTGGGTGAACAGTAAACATGGCTTGCGATTGATTGATTAGAACAAGATGAGCTGAATATATAAGAGCAGAAAACAATTTGTAAAGTCCAAAAAGTAAGAATACCATACTGTGGCAACAAAGTTCATCAACATCGTAAGCTTAAAAGCCGCCTCACCTATCATGTTTCCCTTCCACCATCCCCCGTGTCATATATCCGTGTTCCGTAACATCATCACTTAGATCATTCATCATCTTCAAAACACCTCCATTCAATCTTGCAACAACCCTCCTCACGAGATGCGAATACAGCCCCCGTTCCTCTTGAGCATCCTCGACGGATCCGTTTCCACAAACCTCGCGCAATACAGCTTGAGCACCTTCCACACCTCATAGCCATCCATAGTCAAGCTCACCAAGTCGTTCATATGCGCCGAGATGTTGAATTTGATCAGCAGCCCCAGCATCTTGCCCTCACGCACCTGCTCCCTCGTCTTCTGGGCGTTGTGCCAGCAACTCACATGCACCGCCTGCGGCATCTCTTCCAGCACGGCCGTGTCGAAGCCCGAGAGCTCCGCGACGGCCATCATGGCGCTGGACCAGGGCGCCCAGTTCTCGGGGCCGATGAGCTTGAGGTCGTCGGGGAGACGCGTGATGTCCAGGCCCTTGAGCGAGGGGGAGCGCTGCAGCTTGTCGGGGACGTTGAAGTAGGTGATTTGGGCGTAGTTGTTGGTGTTGTGCTGGAGTTTGATGGGGAGCTTGATGGGAGCTTTGACGGGGATTTTGGACCTGTTTTTGATGTGAGTAAGTTGTGTCAATGACTTGGTGATGTGAAAGGTTGTGCGTTTGTTACCTTGGCGAGATGGCCTTGATGGTTCTCTTTGGCGTTGAAGTCTCCATTGATGCTATGCCTGGTCTTCTCTCACTTGGCTCTCTGATGGAACTTTCCAGGGCTACGGATACCTTCAGCAACGATTCATTATCTTTCAGTCAGTCAGTCAGCCGCACATATAACAATCTGATATCCCGTCCCCACCAGCACATCGGCATTGGGCAGCTGGGCATCGACTCTCTGCGTGCCACGTCTCACCCAGCAAAACGTGTCCAACAACTTCCACGGCACACCAAATCGCCATTAAAGCATCGCTTAAGACAACAGAACCTACATATCGAATTATCCGCCTCTGCTTCACATTTTCCCTCCCTCCAACTTGTTCGAAACTACATGTAACCACAACATCGTCCCTCCTGCGGCCTTTCGGCAGTCCGATCGGGACTCGGAATAGCGACTGTGCGGGGCCGAGAAAATGGCATTGAAGCTGGCGGCAAAGGGAACCGGAAACGGCACAGTATCCGACTGGATGACGGAGGGAATTGTATTGATGCTTACTGACTGGCCTTGTCCTGTAGCATTAGCTGGTAGTTCTCTTGTTTTCTCTGATTGAAACTACTATGCCGAGAACTATATAAGTCTGGTAAACACCGAGATGGAAACAACCATCTCTCTCTCTCTCCGTCTCAAGTCTTCACAACTCGGCTACCTGTATCAATCACCGTGACGGGCAAAGATGGCTGCATATTCGCAAGACCACCTCACGCGCTACCTCGAGCACATCTCGTACCCTCGCTCCCAACATCCCCGAGATGAACTCCAGCTCCTCACCGAGCTCCAAGCCCATCACCTTGCGCGGGTGCCGTTCGAGTCCGTCGGTCTTCACTACTCTCCGCATCGCACCCTGTCTCTCGACCCAGAAGCCCTATTCGAAAAGGTCGTAGAGAAGAGCAAAGGCGGTTACTGTCTCGAGATGAACGCCTTCTTCTGCGAGATCCTCAAGGTCCTGGGCTTCACCGTCCTCCCCATCGGCGCAAGAGTCGAAATCGGTCCCCGATTCGGCGGCATGTAAGTCCCCCAAGCCAAACCACCATCATCTTACACCTCTCTACACATGAAATCCACCCATCTTGACACGGTAACTCACCAGGACTCACTGCGCCAACATCGTCATCATCAGCGAGAGGCGCTACCTCGTCGACGTCGCCTTTGGCAGCTACGGCGTCTTTCGCCCCGTGCCGTTGACGTCCGGCTTCGAATTCGACAACATCCTCCCCCGCCGAGGAAAACTCGAGTTCCGCCCCATCGCACAGTCCACAGCCCCCTCTACACAGCCCCTATGGGTGTATTCCTCTCAAGACGGTCCTTCAGCCGAATGGGTCGAGCGGTACTGCTTCACGGAGACGGAGTTCTTCCGCGCAGTCTACGAAGTGAGCAACTACTTTTGCAGCACGAACCGCATGTCTATTTTCGTCAACCAGGTGATTGTCTTGAAGGGCATCTTGAACGACAGGGGAGATGGGCTGCAAGGCGTGCTGACCATGTTCCAGGGGGAGGTGAGGAAGCGGGTTGAGGGCGTAGAGGGGACGCAAGTGCTGGAGACGATGGCCAACGAGGAGGAGAGAGTTGAGGCGTTGGACAAGTGGTTTTTGATACCGTTGACGAAGCTGGAGGCGCAGGCTATCCAGGGGCTGCCGAGTGAGTTGACGCAGTTCCGCAAGAGCGCGATGTCATGAGAGCGTCCAGGGGCTACCTCGTACATCTCAAGTCTTTATATACGTGTATGTATATCTATAGAATCACATGTTGCAGCTGTATTCTACACTTCCGTCGCCTCCACGACTCTCCAAACCTCGTCCCCAACGCCAAACTCACCACCAACCTCGACATCCGCCGCTCCCAACACCTCCTCACACGGCAACTTCCTCCCCCCATCTCCCAGCCTCACTCTCCTCCTCCATCCCTTCCCATCGTCGTCTCGCCACTCCCACCTCTCCGCCACAAGATCCCCCTCACCCGCCCCGTCTCTCACAAATACCTGCGCCCACTCCCCGAGCCTGACAAACATGCCCTTCTTCCCCTTGTCCTCGTCCTCCATCACGAGCACCACGCACAGCGCCTTGTTCCCGCCCGTCGTCTTTGGCGGCGGATCGAACCACATCTCTTCGTAGTCTGTATCCTTCCCCGTGGTAGGGTTCACCATCTGCCCTTTCTCAAGGGTGCTCAATCCATCCGGCTGGGCATACATGTGGCCCTCATCAGGAGGCGCATCCAATGACCGAGAATCGATCCAGTGTCTCCAGCGAGAAAGCGAGTGTCCCTCACCGAGGACAGTCGATGAAGACGTCCCCGCCATGGCCCAGTCTAGACGACTCAAGGGGAGAATCTCTGCATTCCGATGTTAGATCTCATGCACTGCTTCCATCACCGGTTTTCTAGTGTGATTGATTACCTTCGGAGGCAGCCAGAGAATCACTGCCATCTGCCAACGTCACTCGTACATCGACAAACCTCTTTTCGGGAGACGTCAAAACCAGTGTAGATGTTGGTTCGCTCGCCTCGTCCGGCAGCCACCGGATGAACCTGCGAAGGGAGATGCTGGCCATGGTGTGATGAGCCGATGAAGAAAAACGAACCTTGTATGTATGTCTTTGGAATATAGTTGTTATAAAATTGAAAATGGATTCAACAGATTTGCGGAGATGCAGCCACTTTAAAAGGCTGAGCCGATCTCACTGCGGGGGTGAAGATTTGTGTGGAGCAGCTGGAGCTGTCTGATAGATACATAGTTTGTTGTAGAGTTGTAGAATCTGGCTAGCAAAAGGCGCAGTTCAATTTGCCAGATGCGGAAATTGTGCGAATCAATGCTGGTTGATGGAAACACAAGCCATCGAGTGCTGTTCAAGATGGTTTCATCAAGGTAGCTTCATTAAAGTAGTTTCATCAAGGGTTGACACATCAACTCAACGGCTTCTAATACATCATCATACACACACCAAAACACGGGGATCAACGGGGGACTCGTAAACATGGCATGCCCGACCACAAGGGATCGTTTACGGGCGACTTTGCTTTGATTGATGCTTTTTGTTTATCTCATCATGGTAATTAAATATGCTCCTTAATTTGACCATCCACATCCGAGCACAGATCATGGTGGGGTATCTTCTCTCCATCTCTTCATGTTGTTCATCCTCTCGTTCGTCTCTGTTCTTAAAATAAAAACACACATAGTCTCCTTTACGTGGCACACATCTTTCACACGAAACACGCACAAAACTCCAACTAACCAGACGCCGGAGGCCTGGTAAAGTGGGAGAGCTGGGTGGTAACGACAAGACCAGCGACGGAGGCCGAGGTCAAGGTTGAGAAGACACCAGCGATGAGGGCAGAAAGGGCAAGTCGGGAGACGTCACCACCACGGGACGGGGCCAGCTGGCTCAGAATACCAATCTGGATACCCAGGGAGCCAATGTTGCCGAAGCCGCAGAGGGCGTAGGTGGCAATGAGCTGGGAGCGAGGAGACATGTCGGCGTAGTATGGGTCGGTGGCCATGGCGTTGAAGGCATTGTACTCGTTCTGGAGGCAGCAATTGTCATTATCACGTCACAAATCAAGGGCACAAGTTGGAGACGGAGAGAGGGAGACGGAGATATTGCCAACGTGAAAGAGAAGAGAAGAAAGGGAAAAAAAAGAGGTGATACTTACGGTGATGACCTTCTCGGCAATGAGCTTGGCAACCCTGAGGAGATCGCCGTCTCGAGGAACACCAAGCAGGAAAGCAACCGGGTAGAAGATGTAGGACAGAATGGTCTGGAGAGTCAAGGTAGGGTGGTTGATGTTGATGTAGTGACCCCACCAGGTAAGGAGGCCGTTGATGAGACCGACGGCCGCGAGAATGCAGAGCAGCGAGGCAATAATGGTGCCACCAATCTTGATTCCGAGCCAAGCACCGTTGGCAAAGGCGTGCAGGGCGTTTTCAGCCTTGTGCTCGTCGTCGTCGGGGATGACGACACGGCCAGCGGTGAGAGTCTCCTCGGTCTCGGGATAGCGAAGCTTGGAGATGGCGAGGGAGGCGGGGATGGACATGATGCAAGAGGAGACGAGCGCCTCGGCGTTGAGACCAAGACCAATGTAGCCAACCAGGACGGAGCCGGAAATGGTGGCGAAACCACAGGTCAAGACCTGGTGAAGCTCGGCATTGGTCATGTGGGGGACGAAGGGACGGACCAACATGGCAGACTCTCCCTGGCCGATGAAGGGGGTGGCGGCAGCGACGACGGCCTCGGCACCGGAGGCATTGAGAGCCCAGAAGACGAAGATGGCCACCTTCTTGATGAACCACTGGATGAAGCCAATGTAGTACAAGACCTGCACCAGGGAGATGAAGAAGATGATGGCGGGGATGACGCCAAAGAAGAACCAGGGGAGCGCGGCCACGTCGGGGGTGGTCAAAAAGGCAACACCATCGTGAGCGAAGCCGAGCAAGTCGCCGGCACGATCAGCAATGAACTTGAAGATGTCGTAACCGACGCCGGTTCGCAGGACAAAGAGACCAATGATGTACTGGCCCAGCATGCCGCCGATGACGGTTCGCCAGTTGACGTGCTTGCGGGAGTTGCTGGTGATCCAGAAGCCAAAGAGGATAACGAGCATGCCAAACAAGCTGACGGCACGGTTGGCGCGCGTGTTGTCGGCGCTCTCCTCGGAGGCGAAGGAGCCAACAAGGACGGTGGCGAGGGCCACGACAGCACCGGCGGGAGTGCGCAGCTTCTCGGGGATGCGGTCGTAGACGACGAGAGCCGTTCGCTGCCACACCCACTTGATGGCGTTGGAGAGGTAGCGCACGGGCACGTGGAAGAAGAAGAGGCGGATGGAGATGGCCAGCCACAGCAGGAAGGGAATGACCCAGTTCTTGTCGTCGCGGTGCAGGATCAGCGACGCAATCCACCAGCCGGTGAAGAGCAGGAAGATGAAGATGTGGACAAAGGCGCGGAAGTAGCGGTAGGGCACGCCAAAGTACCAGCGGCGCTGCGAGCCCGTCTCGTCCGGGTCGATGCCCGTGCGCACGATGCCCGTCTGGCCGACCTTTTCGTGGTCGCTGTAGTCGGGCGGCGTGTGAATGTGCTCCTTGTCGATGCTGCGCACGTCGTGGGTGTGGTCCTGGACGGGCACCAGCGTCGCGTCCAGGTTGGTGCCCTTTGTGTAGACGGCATCGTCATGGCCGGCAGCGTCGACCCGGTCCGAGTGATGCTTGTGGTGATGCTGGTGCTGGTGAGCGGGCTCCAGGGCGGGATCCGGGTTGTGGTGGACGCCCTCGGTGGCATCGTGGTAGGGAGCCGGGTCGGCAGCGGGTTTTGACGAATCAGCCATTTTTCTTCTCTTTTTGAGATTTCTCTTCTTCTTCTTCTGCTTCTTCTTCTCCCGGGGGTTCTCTTGGCCTTGGGTTGAGCAAGGCTAGCAGTAGTCAGTCAGGGTTGTTGAAGCAATACGCAACACACAACACAAGCCCGTGACCCGGAAAGACAGACAGTCAGTCAAGCCAGTCTGACTCTGACAGAGAGGTTGAAACTCAAGTCGAAGAGGCTTGAAACAAGAAACAAGAGCAGGCTAGCAAGCAGCTGAACCTGGGAGGAAGCCCGGACGAAATGACGGCGTGAATCCTGGGGAGAAGAGAGGAAGCATCACCGGCTCGTGGGGTCGAGGCTCGAGTTTTTGTACTCGGCCAAACCAGCATCCCCATCCCCACGAGTACGAGTACCGCAGCCCACTGCAGTCCACTGTAGTCCACACGAGCAGCGGCCACGCCGTTTCGCTCGAGATGGAACCAGCCTTTTTGCGATGAGAGGGAACATTGGGAGAGAGAAAAAAAAGTGTGGAGAAGCCCTGGCCTGGGACTTGTTCACGACATGGATATGGATCTTTTAGCGGCCTTGCGGGGGCCCTAGAGGGGTGCTCCAGGGGGTGCGGCGGTCCAGTACAGCGAGGGTCCAGCCCAAAGCAGTAGCGCTGCTCCGAAAAAAGGGCGCTTGCAAAGTACCTAGCAGGTAGACCAAGTCGAACTTGCGGCACGCCACCAGGGCAGGGGCTGTACCCAGCACGGCCTGTCGCTGTGCGCACTGTGCGCTACCTCGGCAGCAAATCTGGCGGGTGATCTGTGCGTGTGTCTGCAATGGAATCCGAGCATCTGGGACATGCATGTGTTTGCAGGCATCATGTACTGTAGATGCCAATTGGCATTGGACGTGATATTTGTCTGAGCATCCGAAAATGATTATTACGCAATCACTTCAAGATCCCCATTTCAGCAGCAGGCCTCGTATCAATCTCAGCAGCCTCACAGTAGCACATGTAATTGTCCTTACACACACCTCTGCCAGGTGCATACTTATCAGTTTATCGATAGCCATCCGGTACATGCCTCCTGCAGCCACCGTACCTGTGCTCGCAAGTTCCCCCGCGCAATCTTCAACACGCCGGGCTATCGAGACGGCCTGTGCACGGTGCGCGCATCACTCAATCCTCACTAGGCACCACTGCCGGAACCTTTTTCAGCGGCCAAAGGTACTTCTGATTCTGCCAATCAATCCCGCCAAGGGTCACTTGTTGCTAGACCCGTCACCGAAGCCTCGCACACTAACAATATTCGAGAAGGAAAATTAAAAAAAAAAAAGGATCGATCGGTCAACCAAGCGCCACCAATCGCCAACGAGGAGAAGAAAAGCAACATGAAGCCAGATGTGTGGCATTGACCGGCTTTCCACTGCGACAAGTTGAGACTATTTGCCTGCCTGCCCAAGTCGAAGCCATCAGAACCTCTCCGTACAGTACAGAGTCTCTTCTATTCGATACGAGACGCCATCGAAGCATCGCGAGCCACAGTTCCCAAAGATGCTTGATGCTCGCATCTACATCAAGGGAGGCGAAAAAAGGGAAGGGAAGAAAATATTGGCGTCTTTATCAGTGGCGCGCCCCTCCGATAAGTCTGTCTCTGGCCAACTCGGACTGGAGGATTGGATGGCTTCTTGCATGGCTCCACGGCTGGCTCCAGGCCAAATCCGGGCCCATCTTCTCCGCTCCAGAAACGGTCCGCTAATCTGTCATGTCATGGCTTCGACTCAGCAGGCGGATGCGGTGTTGGACGACTTGCTGTGTGTACGACCGACTTATGCACGCGATATCGCCTTGTCAGCTTTTGCCCTGCCCTGCCCGCCGCGAGATAAGGATTCCCGTGAGCGACATACAGCAAGGCGAGCAGGTGAGCAGGGAGGAGGATAATCAAGATCCTGGGCTCCGGGCTGGGATCGGTGGCGTCTTGAGACTCGTTGCCCTTTGTGGAAGGTTCGCAGAAACAGCCACCGAGAGCCTCCCGTCCAGCCAAAGAGGCGTCTCGGCCTGGGCTCTGTTAGTGGCAATCTAAATGGCCAAAGGTGAAAGAAAGAGGGTGGCAGAGCTGACGAGCTGATAAGAGCAAGGCCGCGATGCAGTGCCAAGCAACCACCAGAGCGACTTTCTCACATGGATGGCCTGCCTAGCTGCGTCTGATAAGGCTCGGCTCGCGTAGCTGCAACAGGAACCTTTGCCAGCATCGTATCTATCCGTCTGCAACTGTGCCCCCTAGCTCAACCACGACCGCGCACGAGCTGAAGGGCATCGTCCAACGACGATGTCGACCAGCAATTACGTACAAGATGCGCGATAGTACACCCCGGCCTGGTGCTATCTCCCAGCTGCTGCTTTCTGGGGTCTCGTGTCGTCTTGTTTCGTCTCGACTTCCGGAGACCCCAGCTGCTAATCAAAGGGAATCCCCGTTCAACTTCTCACACGGAGCATCGCCAACCCTAAACTTGTACGCTCAATGGCCAAATGCGAGCAAGCAAGGCACAGCCGCTAGCCGTATTGACACACTACTGCCGTGGAATAAGCATGGCTTGCTTTAGCTCCCAACTGCTAAAGTCGGCCAGCCCCGGGGACTCGACATCGTTGGAGGCAGCTTTTCGGAGCATAAAAACAAAGAATCGTTCATTCTTTTGGGTCGGAGTGGCGTTCCTTGGCCCATGGCAGCCGGGCTACCTGCTGCGTGGCGTGTCAATTCAGTCTTCCAATTGGTGTCTCCGTCATTCCAGCGACGTCTGCTGTTTGTATGACTCGGGAGGGCTTCAAGGGAAAAGGGACGTCTGTTGCCCCGAAGCCACGCATCCATCTCTGGGGGAATCGGGAAACTAGAGCAGTACGACGCTGGCCCTCCCAAGCAATGGATGGCAACGCACATTTCGGTCCGGGAGCCGAGCAGCTCTGCTCTTGAGAACAGCTTTATACGACTACGGACTACACGCCAATCCAATCCAATCCAATCCAATCCATAGGCCGGCATTGGCATCTTCATTATGCACGCCCTCATGTTCGCGGTGCCCTTTGGTACCGGCAGCACGCATTGCTGTGGGGGGACGATGCTGGGATATTCAACCAGACACGCGACCACCAAGATTTCCAAACGCACCGGCGCCCTGCCAATCCCAGCAACCAGCCGGGATGCTCCACACACACGCAGCACGGTAACGGCACACACACCAGACCTTTCGCACAAGCAAACATGTCCGACATGCTGGACTGTCTGGACATGTATGTTGCGGCGAGGCGTGGCGAGCGAGATGAATCTGCGCCTGGCCTGATCGACACACCACTCAAGTCGCCAAAGAAATGGGACTTTTTGCAATCTCACCGTGCGTGGGCTTCACATTGGAACAGACATGTCCTCCGCCAAGAAAGAAGCAGAGCAGAGATTTCTTTCGTGGTACGAGACTGTGCTTCATGGCCCGCTTCAAGCCGCATCTGCCCATGCCACGAATTTCACTGTACGACTTCTAACCCTCGGGCCATTACCTTTGCCTTCAAGCAAGCTCCCTCCTCCACTTGTGCCTTTCATTTCTTGGTTTAACATCCCACAATTTCGTTGCCCTTCACCGTCAGCCCCAGACTTCTCCAGCTCGACGGCCAGACGAACTACCTACGGCGAACGAGGCTCCACGCCCTGCCTCGTGGCAAGCCACCCGGAGACTATTTTTGTGGTTTGCGGAACGCTATTCCGTAACACAAAATGCTTCTTTGGCCTTGGGCTGTTTTGCTTTCAACATTTGCCTCTCCTTATTCATCATGGGCAAGACATGAAAGCTTAGTCTGTCAAATCCACAGGGAGATTCAAGCCGGATAGAGCAAAGTCAGCTCCACGTCCCAATACATTACGTGACCAATTTCAGCCGCGCTCCCGATATTTGCTAATTATTACCTACAAAACTCCATCGACAAGCTTCCCCAAAGTTGGCATTCGTGTTTTCCCCAGGGGGAAGATTGGCATAGGATTAAAAACATGCGCCATGACTAGCAATCAATTGGAAAGGGGGGCGTGGTTCCAATCCGGCCTTGTGTTGCCCGTTTCGACCGAGGCGCGAACAGCTCTCTCCAGACCTCTCTCTCTCTAGCCTTGTGCCTTTCGGCCTCCTCCGTCCGGCCTCCTCCACCCCCGCAGGCATCGCCAGGCCCATCGGCGGCTCCCGATGTCACGGCTGCTCTCCCCCCCAGACCAATTCAAACCATTGTGTCGGATCTTCGAGTTACGGGGAACTTGGGGAACTGGGGAAACATTGGGGCACCAGCATGATGGATGGCATCGCTTTTTTTCACTAGCTGCATCATGTAGTAGACCCCCCCTCCCTCCCTTATCATCACCACTATCAAAACATCCATCACCATCACCTTCATGCATGCGGGCAGACACAAACATGCGCTTCAGGCACTTGGCGAACCAGCAATCCCAGATTTCAATGCCGCATCCCATCCTTCAACCCCTCCCACACCCCTTGCAATAACGCCATTCATCTAGCCCAGATCGATGGTCCTCATCCAACACAGCAAAAAGCATGCCAAGGGGCGTCCACTATCATAGTCTACTTTCTCTTTTCCCGAAGACTATCCATCAGGCTATCAGATCATTTCGGCCCCGGAAAAAAAAAGAGACAGTCCAAGAACGCTACAAGCTGCGCAATCTGCCTTATCTCCTCCCATCCCATCGGATTCGCCCGAAAACGAGCTGTCGTGGCCGGCCGGAGTTCCGGACACGGCCATGCGTAGGCAAAGCGACTGTCCTTTGGATCATTCCGCTGCGGTGGATTGACGAGGTCCTACGGAGCAACAATCGGATGCTTCGGCAGTCCAGCAAGGCGAAGCAATTCGGCAGTTGTCATGGATGCCCATCTTTGAACTCCAACCATGGAACATGGAAACTCTCCTGAAGGCTCCTGGACATCCAGCTTCAGTTCAGCCTCCGCGTAAGAATCCCCCCAGGCAAGTCTCTTCTCTTACGGCCCATATCTCAT